TGTGTGTGTGTGTGTGTGTGTGTGTGTGTGTGTATTTTTGTGTTTGTGTGCGTGTGTCTGTATGTGTGTGCTTGTGTGTGCGTGATTGTGTGTGTTTGTGTTTGTGTGTGTGTGTTTGTGTGCGTGTGTGTTTGCGTGCGTGTGTGTTTTTGTGTGTATGTGTATGTGTGTTTGTTTGTGTGTATTTGTGTGTGTTTATGTGTGTTTATGTTTGTATGTGTGTGTATTTGTGTGTGTGAATGTGCCTGTGTGTGTGAGTGAATATTTGTGTGTTTATGTTGATTTGATTTGAATTATTTTTATCACATGTACCTAGATACAGTGTAAAGTTTTGTTTGTGTGCAGTACAGGCAGGCCATACCATACAAAGTGCATTAGGGTAATAGAACAGAGAGAGGAATAGAATGTTATAGCTGCAGAGCGGGTGCACAAAAAGTGAGACCAACATGAAATTTAAAATTTGAGATGTCCAAGGAGAACAGTGGGGAAGAAGCTGTTCTTGAATCCATGTGTATGTGTATACAACCATTTATATCTTCTGCCCCACAGAAGAGGATGGAAGAGAGTATAACTGGGGTGGGGAAGGCTCTTTGATTATGTTGGTTGCTTTCTTGAGGCAGCAGGAAGTATAGATGGAGCCAATGGATGGGAGGCTGGTTTATGTGATGGACCAGGCTGTGTTCACAACTCTCTGTGGTTTCTTGCAGTCTTGCGAAGAGCAGTTGCCATACCACACTGTGATGAATCCAGATAGGATGCTTTCTACGGTTCTTCTGTAAAAATTGGTAAGAATCCTTTGGATCTGCTGAGTTTCCTTAGCCTCCTGGGGGAGTAGGAACGTTGTTGTGCTTTCTAGACCATCGCATTGACATGGGTGGACCAGGACAGATTGTTGAACATCACTTCTGAAAACACAACGCTCTTAAACACCTCCACCTCAGCACCGTTGATACAGACAGGGGCATGCCCTCCATTCTGCTTCTTGAGTTCAATGACCAGCTCCTTCATTTTGCTGACATTGAGGGAGAGATTGTTGACTTTACACCGTGACACAAAGCACGCAATCTCTGTCCTGCATTCTGTCTCATTGTCATTTGAGATCCGAGCTACAACAGTGGTCTTGTCAGGAAAATTATAAATGGAGTTGAGGCAGAATTTGGACATACAGTCATGAGCATATAAGGACCATATCAGGGGGCTGAGTGCACAGCCTTGCAGGGTACCGGGGTTGAAGATTATTATGGCGGGGGTGTATACATGTGTGTGAGAGTACGTGTGTGTCAGGAGTAGCAAATAACATAATTTATCTTCCTTTCACTCCAGAAAGCCTTATAATTGGCTCCTTGTTGTTTCTGGCAAATTAGTTGAATGCACTTAAATGGAAATCAGGTATAGCTGTGCGTTAAAAAGAACGTGAAATATTTATTGTGGCTAACCGATGAGGTTAAAAGGTGGTGAGTTGATTCATCTCTTCTCTCTTGGTTATAACACATCATTCCACGTAGCTGCAATTTCCCAGTCCTGGCCACACCCTCACAGGTCTCCTCTGTACCCTGCTCTCTGTAATAAGGCAACCAAAACTGCTCATAGTACTCAAGCCATAATCTAACTGACAATTTGTATTTGCGCTTGTTACACACGTGTGTGTGTGTGTGTGTGTGTGTGTGTGTGTGTGTGTGCAAGACACGTGTGTGTATGTGTACATGTGTGCAATAGGGTGTGTGTTAGGCTCTTGATGCCAGACTTTTCTTTTTAAAAAAAATTGAATTCAAAAATTCTACCACAGCAGAATTTGAACCCAGCTCCCCCAAGAATTACCTGGCTCTCTGGATTAGTAATTGAGCAACAATACCACTAGGTCATTGCCTACCTCATGACTTAAGTGCAGCATTGTCAGCCTATTTGTATATTCTATACCTCATCTACCAGGGATCAGTTAGCTTGGCTCGGATAGTTCAGATTAAGTGATTAGAATGTGAGAATGGCAGAACAATGGTCAGACTGGAAAGAGCAGACAAAAAAAAACATTGCAGATGCTGGAATCCAAGGTAGACAAGTCCTGAAGAAAGGTAATACCCAAGACGTTGACTGCTCCTTTCCTCCAGATGCTGCCTGGCCTGCTGTGTTCATCCAGCCTCCTGTTTGCCTACCTTGGAAAAAACAGACAGTCCAATTGGAGTGGGGGGAGGGGAGAGAGGACATGGTGACAGAGAATGTAACAAGTAAAGCTAGAAGAAAGGGAAGGAATGGGTTCACAATTTGAAGGTGTTGAACTCAATATTGAGCTCCCTCCTCACGTTACTTCAGATCTGATGCAGAGTTAACTAGACTTGAAACGTTAGCTTGCTCTCTCTCCCTGGATGCTGCCTGACCTGCTATGATCTTCAGCAGTTTTTGTTTTCAGTACAGATTCCAGCATCAGCAGTGGTTTGCTCCTAAATGAAATACCCAGTTTTGTTTCTGTCACTGTAAAAGACCAGACAGTAGAAATGCAAAGGGATTTTATTTGCTCACATCAGACAAGAGAGATGATTGGCAACTGAAGGTAGGTTTTAGCTTGACAGTTTTTTACATTCGGTCAGCTCTGTATCGCTCAAATCAATTCCCCTCATTTTAGTTTCAAGTTTTACATCTCCTACATCCTGGGTGCTTTCCATGCTTCCTAGCATCACACGCTGAGCATCAGACAAACAACCTGAGATATCATTTGACACAACGAATTTATGCTGATTAATTAGCCCGTACTTCTTCCTCACACACTTCTCAAGAAAATGGAAGTACACATTTGATTCATAATGTGCAAGGTGCTTCTGACGACAAGCACCATAGTATTCTCGAACGTCTTGGGTCTTCAGTATCAAGTCTGCCACATCGCCAATGTTCTTCCTACACCCATAACACTTCTTTGGCTTATATCTCAACTTGGAGAGGGAAACAATTTCAAATGACTTTTCCTGCTTTCCTGAAAATCAAAGGATAGGCCATCAATAATATACTCGTCAATAAGATAGTTTACAGAAATATGGAGGGGTTATTGCCTGCCCAATCAACCCAAATAATTCCACAAAGCCCTCTGCACAAAGCCCAAATTCCCTCTGCACACACAATGTGGAGGTGCTGGTGTTGGACTGGGGTGGTCAAGGTCAAAAATCACACAACACCAGGCTGTAGTCCAACAGGTTTATTTGAAAACACTAGCTTTCAGAGCTCTGCTCTATAAGTTAGTGTTTTCAACTAAACTTGTTGGACTATCACCTGGTGTCATGTGATTTTTGACTCTGTACACACAAAGTAATTTTGATTACATTTCTCCACGTTGTACCCCTATTCTTCCATCCACCTGTTCAATCCCACCCTGAGTGGCGAACATCATTGCAAACACAGACAGTGCTCTATATGAAGAAATTTTCCTGCCTTTCGAGTTATACCTTTTGATTTAATCTTGCGTATAGGACCCTCACGACTATTGAAAACAAATGCCTTCCTTTTTATCAATTCTTATCCTTCCCATCCTGTCTGAACTCTGCCTCACAATGAGTTAGTCATAGAATCATCAAGAGCTATAGAAAAGAAAAACGCCCTTTGGCCCATCTAATCTGTATTGGTCTAAAACATCCATCTATCTATTGTAATCCCATTTTCCAGAACTTGGCCCCCAGCTTTGTATGCCTTAGCATCACAAGTGCAGATCTACATGCATCTTAAATGTTTCAGGGGTTTCTGCCTCACATCTCCTCTAAACCTTCTGCTCCTTACCTCAAATATATGCCCCCTGGTTGTTGATCCCTCCAGCAAGGGGAAAAGTTTTTCCTGTCTTCCTATCCATGCCCCTCATAATTTTATACACTTCAATAATCTTCCCCGGGGACGCTAAACCTAAGCTACATGTTAGGACCCCGTGGAAGTCCTGACACATTGACTCTATAGGAATTTCCCATGATGTTTTCACTTCACCATCCCCTTGATTGTCTCTTGACCCCAACTCCCCTTGACTCCTACATCCCACTGGTTCACCTCCAACTGATCCATACTTCCGATCCCCTGACTCCACTTCAAAACAACAATGCTCCCACTGCTGGCCCCCAGCTAACCCCTGAACACTCTTGCTCATCAGTGACCACCTCAATCACTTCTCACAACTCCTCCCTAGAAGGCCTCATGAGCCCTGGCGGAAAACTTCCCCCAAGCCAACCTGAATACCCACCTCATCCAGTTTGCCAACCAAATACCTCCCCACTCAGTCGCTACCCCACTCTGCTGCCACCTTATTTCCCTGCCACTCTCCATAGCTGCTACTAGCATTGCATCTTTTCTGAACAAGTTTTCAGGACAGGAAAGTCCAAAACTAGAGGGGCATAGTTTTAAGGTGAGAGGGGAAAGATTTAAAAGGGACCTGAGGGGCAACTTTTTCACAGAGAGGGTGGAGTGCGTCTGGAATGAGCAGCCTGAGGAAGTGGTGGAGGGTGGTACAATTATAACATTTAAAAGTCATTTGGACAGTTACGTGGACAGGAAGGGGTTAGAGGGATATGGGCCAAATGCAGGCAAATGGATTGGTTCAGTTTGGAAATCCTGGTCAGCATGAACGAGTTGGGCCGAAGGGTCCCTTTCCGTGCTGTATGACTCTATGACTCTATAATAACCCAGTAGCTTCCTCCCTTATTAAAGGAACTTGGTTGATGGATCTTTTTATTCTGGATCTAATATAGAGAAGACAGGGTAAACACAGGAAAGATGTTCCCAATATATCTTCACTATATTTTACTGTTTTTCTCACTGTAAAATACACATGACAATAGAATCATTCATGTGTTCATTTAATGGCCAGGGAATCCAGAACAATGGGTCTCTGTCTGAAGATACGGGGTAGGCCATTTAGGCTTGAGATGAGGAGGAATGTCTCCACCCAGAGAGTGGTGAGCTTGTGGGATTCAGTACCACAGCTGAGCCCAAACATTGAATGTTTCCAAGAAGGAGTTAGATGTAAAATAGAAGTTTAGCAGGTCTGGCTGTATCAGTGGAGAAAGAAACAGAGTCAACGTTTTGGGTCCACTGGACTTGAAACATTAACTCTGTTTCTCTTTCCACAGACACGACCAGACCTGCTGAGTTTCTCCAGCAATTTCTGCTGCAATTTCAGGTTTCCAGCATCCACAGTTCTTTATGGGTTTTCGTTTTGTTTAGGAGTTAGATATATTTCTTAGGGCTGAAGGGATTAAGGTGTATGGAGCAAAAGTGGGAACAGGGTAATGAGTTGGATCATCAGCCTTCTCATGCTCCAATTTCACTACATTTCTGTAGAAGTTTGGAAATTCCCATGTCAACATATTGATAACTGGGTAAATCATTTAAATTCTATGCGATGACTAGTGGAGGTGTAGGACTGGAGAAAGAGATAGAGAGAAAGAGAGAAACAACGTTCCTTCCATTGATACCATCAGTTACCAGAATACTGCAGCTAGTGCTGTAGAAAGGAGATTTGGGAACTAGTTTGCCTTCTTCCAACTGACCATTGAGCACCATAGTGAAACAATTGGATTTAAGGTACACTCGGTGTTTTTAGACACCAGAAACGGAAGTCCCTCTACATGCAGAGCACGTGGCACAAAATACTTTGGGGGGTGGGGGGCGCGGGGAGAGGCGATCCCACGGAGATTGCCACTCTAAGAATATTCGGCAGGCAGGGACTGCAGTAGTGGGGTGGGAGGGACTGGTCCTGGAGACACCAAGGTGCTGCCAAATCTCACAGTGTTAGGGTTCTCTTTGTTCCATTTCCCACCAGGTAGTGAAATCAGAGCTGGTGGCGGGAGATCATGAGCTGGGCAGTCAGGAGATGGCCTAGTTGCTCAGTGGTCAGCACTGCTGCCTCACAGTGCCAGGGAACCAGGCTCGATTCCAACCTCGGGCGACTGTCTGTGTGGAGTTTGCACATTCTCCCCGTGTCTGCATGGGCTGCCCTCTCGGTGTTCTGGTTTCCTCCTGCATTCCAAAGATGTGGAGCTGAGGTAGATTGGCCATGCTACGTGTGGGGTAACAGGGATAGGGTGTGGGCCTGGGTCTGGAAAGTATGTTCTTCAGAGACTCAGTACAGACTTGTTGGGCCAAATAACCCCTATCTGCAAAGTAGGGATTCCATAGAGCAGGGAAAGATGGATATGGCATGAGATTGGTCTTGGAAGAGTATCAGCTGATCACAGAATTGCTAGAGATTGGTGTTGCAAGCTAATTGCCCAATGGTGGAATAAAATGTGTGTCCCCAGGGCTGTGAGGCAGTAATACTAATCAGTGAGCCCAGTCCAACACCAGCACCTCCAAATACTTTTTGTGGAAAGAATTCCAAACCTCTACCACCCTTTGTGTGTAGAAGTGCTTCCTAACATTTCCCCAAAACAGTCTGGCCCTAAATCTCAGACTATGCCCCCTTAATATAAAATCCTCAATTTTTGTTTTACAAAGGTATTAAGAGATATGGGCCAAAGGCAGGTGTATGGACTTAGGGTACAGATCAGCCATAATCTTATTGAATGGCAGTACAGGTTTCAGGAGCTGAATGGCCTACTCCTGTTCTTCTGCTCCCAAGTCCCAAAATATAGTCCTCAAAATATAAGATTTACCTTTAGTGTTGCTCTTTCTTGTTTGAATGCTTTCTTCCTTTGGTTTTCGCTTGGTCTTCTTTATTGTTGAGGGACATAATTTCTGAGATACCTTCTCATCAGTTAACGCATTTTTATAATCAATGATCTTACTTTTCTTCAGAAGAGGCTCATAAAGTAAACTTGTCTCCAACTTAGCTTGATGATCTGTTGTGTGTATCTTTGTAGAAGAAGGCTCTAGATTGTATGTCTCCCTCCTCAGGGCCTCTGCCTGCTGCATTTCTACAGTCTTGGCATCCTGGATTTTTCTCTTTTTCTTCCCTGGAGTCTTGAATTCCTGGCTTCTCTTCACTAGAAACTCTGAGATCTTTAATCTTTTAAAAGGTTTGGTTATTTTGTTTTCCTCTAGAATCTTTGATGTCTCACTTTTCCCACACTTCTTCTCTTGGTATTTGGTTTTTTGTCTAATTTTCTTGACTTCCTTTCCTAGTTTGTGGAAAACAAAGGAAAATGTTTTGATAAAATTAATTGACTTTTTTTCTAATACAATCAAATAATACAGGATGTGGGCATCACTGGCTAGGTTGGCATTTATTGCCCATCCCTTATTGCCCAGAGGGCTGCCAGGAGTCAACCACATTGCTGTGGGTCTGAAGTCACATTTAGGGCCGACCAGGTAAGGATGGCAGTTTCCTTCTCTGAAGGACATTAGTGAGCCAGATGGGATTTTCCGGGCATTTGGCAATGGATTTGTGGTCATCATTGGATTCTTAGTTCCACCATCTGCTTTGGCATTCCAGGTCCCCACAATCTCTGGATTAATAGTCTGGTAATAATACCACTAGGTCATCACCTTCCCACTTGGGGCTGAGCCTTAATGATATTAGTGAACCAGATGGGTCATCCCCTAACAATCGGGTTATCAGTAGACTTTCAATTCCAGACTTTTATTGAATTCAAATTCCATCATCTGCTATTGTGGGATTTGAACCCACGTCTACAGAACATTACCTGGTCTCCAGGTTAATAGGCTAGCGATAACACCACAAGGCCATCGGCTCCCCTATGTAATTAATTTAGTTTGTTGAGGTACTGCTACTTTATTACTGTAGATGCAGCTTCATTTTATTTTTCTATATTTATATCGTGAACTAAAATGGGACAAGGACTATTTTAAAGGGGAGGCGACGGCCTAGTAGTATTATCGCTGAACTATTAATCCAGAGACCCAGATAATGTTCTGGGGGCCCAGGTTCAAATCCTGTCACGGCAAATGGTGGAATTTGAATTCAATTACTATCTGGAATTAAAAATCTAATGATGACTGTGAATCCATTGTTGATTGTTGGAAAAACCCATCTGATTCTCTAATGTCCTTTAGGGAAGGAAACTGCCATCCTTACCTGATCTGGTCTACATGTGACTCCAGACCCACAGAAATGTGGTTGACTCTTTACTGCCCTCTGGGCAATTAGGGATGGGCAATAAATGCTGCCTAGCCAGTGACGCCCTCATCCCGTGAATAAATAAAGAAAGAAGAAACCAAAGACAATGGGTGACTAATCTTTTTGAAAGCAGGTTACCAATACTCATTGCAAGTGATGTTTACACAGCTGTTTGTTGAAGAAGTGGGGGAGATTGAGTCACAGATGAGAGGAAGTGTGCAAAATGGATTCAACCAGCAACAAGTAGCTGATTGGTCTCGTGGAGTGGTGACCTGTTGTTGATACCAATGGCCTTCTAACCTACTACGTGATTGGCTCCCGTGTAGCTGAACAGCTTGTAGGTGTAATTGCTTGACCAAAAACCACCAGACCCCAAGAAAGAAATGGGTTGTCCTTTCCTCTGCAGTTATCAGCCTGAAGAAAATCATTTTATTTCCTTCATTTGTTCCTGTAATGATGTGTCTTTCATTCTTCCCACCGTTAGCAGTCCTGACCCATGTATCACACCAATAATCATTGTCCGAGCCATTTCTCTGCTCTGAGACATACCCAGAAAGATCTGATCCCCATTATGATTGCAGTATTTACAATTGCACTGTGACCTGGACGTTATGTTAAATGCACCTTAAGTTAGGTGGTGAGGCATGAGCTAAGACTCTAATCCTTTCTGTGACAATAGGTTGAGAATTGAATGCAGACTTACAGCTAGCTGGTTTGTACTTGCTAACCCAGTGGCCCAGATTCTCGCTATGTAAGAAAAAGTTTCAGACAGGTTGGTAGGTGGGCTCTGATTGTTTGGGTGTTGTCATGGAGAATGTAACAGGCACGGTTACATCTCCAAGTTGTTTCAAGTCAACTCTGCTTGGTTGAGGCATTGCCATAAGAAACCCTCCCCCACACATTTGTTCAATTCTGAAGGCACACAGCTTGGACACATTCCTTCTGTTAACCAAAAAAACCAACACATTCTTTCTGTTAACCAAAAACAACCAACACATTCTTTTTATTAACCAAAAACAAGAAAACCAAGAACTGCAGATGCTGGAAGTCAGAAACGAAAACAGAAATTGCTGGAAAACAGAATTGCAGGATGTGCTATCTCTCCACGGATGCTACCAGACCTGTTGAGCTTTTCCAGCAATCTGTGTTTTTATTGATATTCTTTTTGCTTGCAGAGGACAGATCCTACAGTGAGTTATATGTTTTCTGAGTGGCATGTGCAAATGGTATGGGTTTCCTTCGAGTGCTCCAGTTTCCTCCCACAGCCCAAAGGTGCACAACTATGGTGGGCCATGCTAAATTGCCAACAGTGTCCAGGGATGTGCAGGCTAGGTGGGTTAGCCATGGGAAATATGGGGTTACAGGAATAGACCAGGAGGGTGGGTGTGGGTGGGATGATGTTCAGAGGGCCAGTGTGAACTTGATGGGCTGAATTGCCTGCTTCTAGACTGTAGGGTTTCTATGATTCTATGATACAAAAGGAATAGGATGCAATATTTGTTAAATGTGGCTGTTCCCATCACCTGTGCATCTTAACAATACAACTGACATACCATTAATACATTAGAAATTTTTAATCGTAACAAATGTAAATTAAACATCGCCTAACCTTTTGATGTGTGTGCATTTTTAAGGGGATGCATCTTAATCTGCGGTCAATCATTATTACCACTAACCATAGGATACAACGGAAGGACCATGATCTGCTGCCCCGCTACGAGCAATAGTAGTTAACATCAAACATTGGTATAGAATCACCCAGCTAACCATCCTTATAATGTAGTCTTACCTCCAAATAAAGAACCCAAGGGCACGAACGTTAATCTCCACACAGTCAAGAAGGAGAGATCATATCTGGAGTGAGACAGAGTTCAAGTGAAGACGCAGTTCGGGGAATTTGAAGGCAGTGTGGGAATTCAGTACAGAGGGAGAAAGGTGCTTTTTGTTTGCTCTTTCAGCTGAGAGTTTAGAAGGTGTTTTAAACAGGATATATCGCAGCCCAGGATTAGGGGCCCAGCACAAAAAAAAAGACATCACAGGAAAACTGTAAATTCATTGCTTGGTGATAAATACTTATTTGGCCATCTACTTTCAGATTGAAGGCAAATGGGGAAATATTTACAGGTTAGAAACTAAAAGACCAGTAGGAATTTTTTTAAAATATCAAATTAAGAACAAAACAATTAAAATAGAGATGCCAGGCCAGGTGATGTACTGTAACTACATGATGTGGGAGCTGGTGGATCTCACTGTCGCTCATAGCAACCACATCTGTAGCAAGTGTTGGTTGCCTGAGGAACTCCAGCTCAGAGTTGATGAGCTGGAATCAGAGCCTCAAACACTGCGACACATCAGGGACCGGGAGATTTACCTGGGCACTGTGTTTCAGGAGGCAGTCACACCACTTCGATCAACTACTTTGAGTTTGGTCAGGGACAGGAGGATGTGACTATGAACAAGGCAGGTAGAGGGATCCGGGAGGGAATGCTGAAGGAGCCTCAGCTCTTGAGCATGTCTAACAGGTTTGAGATTCTTGCTCCGTGTGTGGGTGAGACCGGGGTCTGTCAGGAGAATGAGCAAACCGACCACAGCACCATGGTACAGGGAGCCATTCCAGAGGCGGGAGAAAGAGAAATGTAATCAGGGATAGTACAGTCAGGGGAATAGGCATTGTTCCCTGTGGCTAGGATCAAGAATATCCCAAAGACTGTGTTGCCTCCCTGATGCCCAGATTCAGGATATCACATCTGGGCTGCAGAGGAACTTGGAGTGGGACAGGAAAGATCCAGTTGTTGTGGTCCATGTAGGTACCAACAATATAGAGAGAAAGAGAAAAAAAGTTCTGCTGAGGGAATATGAGCAGTTAGGGGCTAAATTAGAGAGCTGAACCAAAAAGATAGTAAGAACTGCAGATGCTGGAGTCTGAGATAACACAATGTGGAGCTGGAGGAACACAACAGCCCAGGCAGCATCAGAGGAACAGGAAAGTTGACGTTTCGGGTCAGGACCCTTCCTCCAGCTCCACACTGAACCAAAAAGATTGTGATTTATGGAATACTGCCTGAGTCACAAGCTCATTGGCTCCTGGGATCAACAAGATTAAAGAGGTAAACACATGGCTCCAAGATTGGGGTGGGAGAAATGAGTTTGAATTCATGGGACATTGACTCCAATATTGGGGGAGGAGGGAATTGTACCAAAGAGACAGGTACAGGCTCCACCTGAGTCAAATTGCATAAATAGGGATGTAGATAGGGCTTTAAACTAAATAGTGGAGAGGGCTGGGTACCATTGCATGGAAAATTATGGAAAAAGTTATAATGGTGAAGGGCTCAGCAGAGGTTATTAAAGTTTCCAGAATGACTAATAGGACAGAGAGTGTGGTAAGTGTCAGAAATATAACTTTAGGGACAGCAGATAAGGGAACAACCAAGAGAAGGGGGCTGTCAACTCAGGTCTGAGGGTGTTGTACTTAAGTGCACACAGTATACGAAACAAGGAAATGAGCTCCTAGCACAGATTGAACTTGGCGGGTACGATGCTGTGGGTATTACAGAGACACGGCTGCAAGGGGATCAGGGCTGGGAACCAAATATCCAACAATATGGGTCCTATTGAAAGGACAGGCAGATAGGGAGAGGGGGAGGGGTTGGCTTGTTGGTAAAAACTGTAAAGGGAAAAAAACCCTGATGGGACTTGTGTACAGGCCTCCTAGCAATAGTCAGGATGTGGAAAAGAAAATAGATCAGGAAATAGAAATGCAAGAAAGGTACTATTGCAATAAGCATGGGAGACTTCAATATGAGTGACTGGAAAAATCAGGTGGTAGTGGATCCCAAGAAATGGAATTCAAGGAATGTCTACAGGATTTTGTTTTGGAGCAGCTCATGGTGGAACCCACCAGGGACCAGGCAATTCTGGATTTGATGATGTGTAATGAGGCAGACTTGATCAGGGAGCTTAAGATGAAGGAACCCCTTCGGGGCAGTGACCATAATATGATAGAGTTCACCCAACCGTCTGAGAGAGAGGAGACAGAGTCAGATGTAATGGTATTATAATTGAGTAAAGGGAAATACAAGACATGAGGGAGGAGTTGGCCAGAGGCAGTTGGAAGGAAGCTCTGCAGGGAAGATGGTGGAGTAGCAATGGCAGGAGTGTCTGGGGGTAATTTGGGAGGCAAAGTAAGAACTCATCCCAAGGAAGAAGGAACATACTAACGGGAAGACAAGGCAACCATGGCTGACAAGGGAAGTCAGGGACAGCATAAAAACAGAAGTAAAAAACATGCAATGTGGTGAAGATTAGTGGGAAACCAGAGGACTAAGAAACCTTTAAAAACCAGCGAGGAATAACTACTGAAGCAATAATGGGGGAGAAGATGAAATATGAGAATAAACTAGCTAGTAATAGAAAAGAAGATTGCAAGGGTTTTTTTTTAGATATCTAAAGGTAAGAGAGAGGCAAGAGTGCACATTGGACCACTGGAAAATGAGGCTGGAGAAATAGTAATGGGGAACAAAGAAATGGCAGAGGAACTGAATCGGTATTTTGCATCAGTCTTCACTATAGAAGACACCAGTAGCAAACCAGAACTTTAGAAGAGTCAGGGGGAGAGAGATGAGTGTAGTGGCCATCACTAAGAGACGGCGCTGGTGAGGCTAAAAGGCCTGAAAGTGTATAAGTCACCCGGACTGGATGGACTACACCCCAGAGTTCTGAAGGAGGTGGCTGAGGAGATTGTGGAGGCATTGGTGGTCATCCTTCAGGAATCTCTGGATGCAGGGAGGGTCCCAGAGGACTAGAAAATGGCTAATGTAACATCCCTGATTAAGAAGGGAGGGAGGCAGAAGACAGGAAATGATAGGCCAGTTAGCCTGACCTCGGTCGCTAGTAAGATTTTAGAGTCCATTGTTAAGGATGAGATTACAGAGTGTATGGAAAGCACATGGTAAAATAGGGCTGAGACAGTACAACTTCATCAAGGGGAGGTCATGCCTGACAAATCTGTTTGAACTCTTTGAGGAGATAACGGGTGAATTAGACGAGATAGAGTCAGTGGATGATTTCTCTTTGGATTTCCAGAAGAACTTGTCAAAATGCTGCACAGGATGCTGTTTAATAAAATAAGAACCAACGGTGTTAGGCTCAGGTTGTGGCATGAATGGGGGATTGGCTGACTGGCAGAAAACAGAGAGTGGAAACAAAGGGGTCTTTTTCAGGACAGCAGGTGGTGAATAGTGGAGATTCAGAAGGGTCCGTGCTGGACCATAGCTATTCATGTCGTAGATTAACAATCTGAACGCAGGAACTGACAGCATTGTTGCTAAGTTTGCAGATGACGTAAAAATAGGGGGAGGGACAGTTAGTATTGAGGAAGTGGGAAGGCTGCAGAAGGATTTGTACAGGCTAGGTGAGTGGGCAAAGAATTAGCAGATGGAATACAATTGAGAACGTGTGAGGTTTTGCACTTTGGCAGGAAGAAGAGCCATAGACTATTTTATAAATGAGGAAAGGCATTGGAAATCTAAAGTATATAGGGTCCTGGGAGTGCTAGTTCAGGATTCTCTTAGGGTTACCATGTAGGCTAATTTGGCAGTTTGGAAGACAAATGCATTGTTAGCATTCATTGCAAAAGGGCTAGAACACAAGAGCAGAGATGTACTTCTGTAGCTGTATAAGGCTCTGGTCAGATCCCGCATTTGGAATATTGTAAGCATTGGAATATTGGAATCTTGGGCCCTGTATCTAAGAAAGGATATGCTGGAGTTGGAAGGATCTTGAGGATATTTACAAGAATGACCCTGGAGATGAAGGACTTGTCATATGAGGAGCAGTTGAGAACTCTGGGTCTGTGCTCAATGCGTTTAGAAGGATGAGGAGGATCTGATTGAAACTTGCAAATATTGAGAGGCCTGGATAGAATGGACATGGAGATGTCTCTACTAGTAGGAGAGATTAGGACCCAAGGGCACTGTCTCAGAGTGAAGAGACGACCATTTAGAAATGAAATGAGGAGGAATTTCTTCAGCCAGAAGGTGGGGAATCTGTGGAACTCATTGCCGCAGAGGGCTGTGGAGATTAAGTCATTGAGTTAATTCAAGACAGAGATAGATTGGTTCTTGATTGTTAAGGGGATCAAGGGTTATAGGGAGAAGGCAGGAGAGTGAGGTTGAGAAACATATCAGCCATGATCAAATGATGAAGCAGATATGATAGGCCAAATGGCCTAATTCTGCTCCTGTATCTCACGGCCTAAGTCATTATTTCACCACTCCCTGCGTAATATTGGCACATTTATATATCTGAAAGAAGGACATAATTAAACACACATTAGGCAGTTCTCTCTCAATTCTCATTACTGTGTTTCCCTTACCTGACAATTCTTTATCTTTGCCCTTGCTGAATTTGTGTCCATACTTGTTTTCAGGTTTATTTAAAATGTTATCGATTAACTTAATAATAAGGTTGTAATCACTTTTGCTCATTGGCTTTTCTTTTAATACCTTCCTTCGGAGTTTATGTAGTTTTCTCTGTCTCTGCTTCATGAATTCTCTCTTCAGATCACTTAAGGTTGTCTGTGGCTCATTTTTGATATCAATACATAGATAATCAACATTCTGGAACCGTTTTGGTGTTTTTATGATTGGGAGCATATCATCAACAGCAAACCCTGAAACATAAAAGAAATTTAACAGAAAAGTCAGACCAGACTCTCAGTGCAGACTCTAAAGAGATTGATGTAATCATCCCTCATCTCATGAATGAATAAAGAAATAAAATGTAATCACTTTTCAATCCCACTTCAGATCTAAAGCAGATGGATGAGCTACATTGATCAAGGATCAAGGCAGTTTATAACAAAGTTCGTAAGAACTCACTTGTTTGAGTATAGGAGTTGGGTAGTCATGTTAAGTTTGTACAGGACATTGGTGAGGTTTTTTCTGGAGTACTATATCCATTTCTGGTCGCCCAGTTACAGGAAGGATATTATTAAGATGGAGAGGGTTCAGAAGAGATTTACCAGTATGTTGCTGGGTATGGAAGGTTTGAGTTATAAAGATAGGCAGGGAAATTTTTCACTGGAGCATAGGAGGTTGAGGGGTAACCTTGCAGGAGTTTATAAAGTCATGAGAGATGTAGACAGGGTTAGTGGTAGGTGTCTTTTCCCTAGGATGGGGGATCTCAAGAATAGGGGCCACATTTTCTAAGGTGAGAGGAGAGAGATTTAAAAAAGACATGAGGGGCAAATTTTTTACACAGAGCGTGGTTCGCACGTGGAATGAACTTCCAGAGGAAGTGGTGGATGCAGGTGCAATTACAATGTTTAAAAGACAGTTAGATAAGCACATGAATAGGAAAGGTTTGGAGAGATATGGGCCAGGAATAGGTAGGTGGGACTAGTTTAGCTTGGGATTATGTTTGGCTGAAGGGTCTGTTTTTGTGCTCTACGACTCTAAGAACTAAGAAGTAGGGGCAGTAATTGCCAGTTTTGTCCTTGACCTATTTTCACCAGTTAGTAAGATCATGGCTATTCTTCCACCTTAACTATACCTCCCAACAGTATCCCTGCATCCGAATCATTATTTGGTCGCCCAATGTTTGAGTACTGCAGAAAAAAAAAGACACATTTTGTCAAAGTTTTCCATCTTGCAATCATCACGACATTTTTGCAAGAATACAAATTCAATGGGGAAAACAACATCTACTCTGCTTGAGAAGAGAGATCGTTGATTGGTTGGCAAGTGGACTAGGATTAGAGAGGCGTTTCCATGGAGAATGCACCAGTTAATTTTGATTGACAGCAAACATCCAAGCTTGGTTTAAATTTTAAACAAGGGAGGGGAGGTCTTGTCCCCACCTCTGGATGAGAGGATCTGGGTTCAGGTGCCAGCTGTACTGCAAGTGTGTCTGAACAGATTGATGAAGAATACATTTCACCAGTCAGGCTTTCTCTAATTGATCATGGCACTGCCCTGAGAAACTAACTGGCAAATGTCTGTCACCTATTTTGAGTTGAAACAGATGCAGATTTTTTCTGTCTGCTTACATAGGGGCAGCTCTGGAGGGCAACTAAGAATGGGCAATAAATGCCGGCCAGCCAGCGATGCCCACATCCCACAATGAATTAAAAAAATGAGGTAGAGAATTCAAAAGATTTGCAACATTTTGAGTGAAATGTTTCCTCATCTGAGTCCCAAATTGCCAACCCCTCATTCTAAGACAGCTTGTTCTAGACACCAGAGGGAAGGAAAACAGCTTCCAGCATCTACCCTGTCAACCCTGTTAAAAATATTTTATTTTTCAATGAGATCATCTTCTAAACGTTAAGGAATTTCGTTGCCAATGCCTAATGAGTATGTCCACCTGGGAAATTCTGTGTCACTACTCCTGGGTTCTGTGGGCCTATGTGTAGATGATGAGCCTGATCCCAGAGCCACATCTCCAACCATACATTTGGCAGGTGTTTCTGGGAGGTGGAATTGGTCTTTATCCTTGAAACATTTGGCATTCCTTCCTCTGGTTCCTTTTCTGAACTTCCTGCTGCCAACAGGTGTTTTCAAAGAATTGTGTCCCTTCATACAGGAGTTCCCTGCAAATCAGTTTCTTCTGAATGACGGTCTCCCATGCGTTGACATCCATGTTGCATTTCTACAGGAAAGCCTTCAAGGAGTGTTTGAAACACTTCCTTTGTCCTCCTCTCGTTCAAGTGCCTTCGTTGAGCTGGCGAAGAAGATTTGATTTGGCAGTCAGAACTCAGGCACCTTAAGCATGTGGCCGGCCCAGTGGTGTTGGTTTTGAACGATTGTGGCCTTGAGGCTGGCACCGTTAGCTGCTTCAAGGACACAAATGTTAGTACGCTCAGCCTCCCAGCTAATGTGGACAATCCATCTCAAACAACATCAATAGTACATCTCAAGGGTCTTGAGGTGGCATCTATATGTAGTCCAAGTTTCAGAGCAATACAGGAGAGCCAGAAGGATGACTGCCTTATACACAATGAACCTGGTATGAGCATGGTTGTCATAGTCATTGAAGATTCATAGAATCATAGAATCCCTACAGTGTGGAAACAGGCCCTTTGGCCCAACAAGTGCACACCGACCCTCGAATCATCCCACCCAGACCCATCCCCCTGTACCCCCCCCTAGTCTACACATCCCTGAACACTATGGGCAATTTAGCATGGCCAATCCACCTAAGGATTATCATCCTTAGACATCCCAAAGGCTTAGAGGTGATGCTAAATCCTCACATCAATGTCAGCCTTAGATGAGAGGTAGCTTCCCAGGTAAGGAAAATATTCCACATTTGTTTGTATTTCTCCATTGATCTTAAGGCAAGGATGGATCTGGTTGAGAAAGGACTTGAGTCTTCTTGAGGTTCAGACTGAGAGTAATTCTTTGGTATGCTTTCACAAAGGCATTAAGCCTTTGAAGATTTTCTTCCAAGACATCAGAGATGATATTGTCATCCACGTACTGATGTTCCTCAAGCAAGGTCGGTATTGTTCCCTTCTTGGATTTCAACACGTTGAGGTTGCAACATTTTCCATCCATCCTGTAGAGAATTTCTGCATCACTGGGAAGCTCATTCTTAATAAGATTCAGAACAGTGGGTTGAAGATATCAGAATATAGATCTAATTTGTTCAATCTCCACTCGAAGGACAATTTTGTCATTCTAGGAATTACTTTAATGAACTTTGTTACTCTGCTTTTGAGACAAATGTATCCTTCCTTAAGTATGGAGACCCAGACTATATGCAGAACTCCAAATTTGGTCCCACCTGGGTCCTATATAATTACAGTAAAGTTCCTATACTACTATACTCCAATTGCTTTGCAATGAAAGCTAACAGACCATTTGTTTTCCCAATTGTTTGTTGTACCTGCATGCCAACTTTCAGTAATTGTTTTCCAGGAGGCTCGGATCTCTCTAAACATTAACGCTACCCAATTTCTCACTATGTAAAAATGTTTTTTTTAATGCTATTTGCTTTTTGTTCTACCAAATGGCTAACTTCAAATTTCTCCATATTTTATTCCATCTACCATATTTTTGCCTGCTCAGTTAATTATCTAAAGATGTTTGTAACGTCTTTGTATGCTCTTCACAGCACACTTCCCCACATTGAAAATTATCATCAAACTTAAATATGTTATAGTCAATTCTTCACCTAAGTCATAGAGTCCCTACAGTGTAGAAACAGGCCATTCGGCTCAACCCCATACTGCCCCTCTGAAGAGCATCCCATCCAGACCCATTTCCCTACCCCTGCATTTCCCATGTCTGGCCCACCTAACCTAAACATCCCTGGACACTATGGCCAATTTTAGCATGGCCAATCCACGTAGACTGCACATCTTTCGACTTTGGGAGGAAACCGGAGCACCCAAAGGAAACCCACACAGACACAGGGAGAATGTGCAAACTCCACACAAACAGTGGCTCAGTGGTGGGCACTGTTGCCTCGCAGCACCAGGGACCCAGGTTCAATCCCACACTTGGGTAACTGTCATTGATCTATATTCTCTGTATGTGAGACCCAATCTCAGACACTTGTGGTACACCACCACTTACACTCACCCATCCCAAAATATGAACTGTTTATCTGAAGAAGGGTCCCGACCCGAAACGTCAGCTTTCCAGCTCCTCTGATGCTGCCTGGCCTGCTGTGTTCCTCCAGCTCCACACTGTGTTATCTCTGACTCCAGCATCGGCAGTTCTTACTGTTTTATCAGTGGTCTTTATTTTCTCACCATTAACCAGCTCTCAATTCATGATGATATCTTGGCGTAATCCTATAAATTCTAATTGCCTGCAACAATCTCTTGTGCAGTTACCTTACTGAATGTTTTTTGAGATTCCAAATGCATTACATCCCTCCTTATCCACCTGTTGGTTGTGTTCTCAAAAGAATTCTAACAAATTTGACAAATCTGCATTTCCTTCCATCAATCCTGCTAAAATGTATGATTTTCTAAGTGCTCCCTTTCTAGCATACACCTCTAGTTGTTGGTCATACACAACTTGCATATCGCTGAAAAAAGACACATTTTGTCAAAGTTTTTCATTTTGTATACATCAGGACATCTCACAAGAATACCGACAAATGCCAGATGAACTGACCTGGTACCCTATTTTTCATTTTCCCTTCATCTTGAACAGCAGGGTTACAGTCCCTGTTTCTCAAGCCACAGGAACTATTCTGGATTCTAAGAAATTCTAGAAGATCAGAAACCAATGCTGCAGATCAAGCGAAGTTAAGAACTAATGAATCAGAACAACAGTCCACAATGCTGCCACATCTAGTCATGATTGATGGTGGATAAATAAACAAATAGGACCTTCATGAAGCTTACCTTCTTCGATGTTATCAGAAGTCACATAACATCAGGTTATGGTCCAATAGGTTTATTTGAAATCACAAGTTTTCGGAGCGCTGCTCCTTCGCCAGGCAAAGTACTCCACATCATTCTTCAATGATGGCAGAGCTCAGCACAGTTCAAAAGGCAAAGGTGAAATGTTTCCAACAGCCTTCAGATAACATTGCTGGTGGATGATTCACCTCAATCCCCTGTGCAGGCTTTCAAACATGGTCAATGCCATTTCTTACCCAATTCATTTCACTGCATGTGATATCAAGAAATGGCTAAGGGCACAGGATGTA